TTCCTCCTGCCACATAAGGAAGTGTGAGTGGTCTCTGAATTTTAAAAATTTTGTACCTAGGTTTAAACTTGTATTAATTTTCATCTGTTTCAATTAATTCACAGAAATAAAAATAACATGATGAAAACTGAATTATGAACTTTTTACAACTAAAATATATATATCAGTGCAACTTACTGATGAATATGTGTGTGTGTATGTATGTAATGCATATTTTGTATAAGTATAGTCCATGTGCATACTGGACTCATAGTTCTGCTTTTTCATATTGCATTATTTTACCTGAAACTTTTCATTTAAAAATATATCTCATTGTTTATAATATGGTACATTGACCTAACATGGTTTTTGGTTGTTCCCAGTTACTGGACTTTCAGGTTGTTTCTAGTTTACTGTTACATAGTGTGTTGCTATAAACACTTTGCATGTAGAGGGTTTTTTTTAAAATTTTGTATTATTTTATTGGGAGTCTATCCTATAGAGAGACTGTACAATAAGGTAGATAACAATAATAACAACATATCTAACATTTATATAGCCCCTACTATGTGACAGGCATTGTGCTAAGTGCTTTACAATTTCTCTCTCCTTGGATCCTTTTAACAACCATGGCAGGAAGGTAGTGTTATTATCCCCGTTTTACAGTTGAAGAAGTTGAGGCAGACAGAGACCAAGTGACATGTCCAGGGTCACACTGCTAGGAAGTGTCACACGTTAAATTTGAATTCAGGTCCTGACACTAGGCCAAGCACTCTCTATCCCCTTCTCCACCTAACTTCCTGGCCTCTGGGCAAGGAAGACCTGCATTTGAATATCACCTCTGAAACATACAGTGTAAATTGGGATAAGTCATTTTAACTTCTCAGACAGCTAAGACAATAAATAATTGTATAGAAGATGCTGACCTTCATCAGTGGAGGGAGTTTCCTCATCTGGGAGTTCCTCATACCAAAAAATCATGTGTCCCATTCCTATTCCTATATAGCAAGATTGCTGCATCAAAAGACATGGCCATTTTTGTCACTTTTATTATTCTTGCTAGATTGCTTTCTAGAAATATTGCCCCAATTTTCAGTGCTATCAGAAACACATAAATGTTCCTATTTCTCCACAATTTCACTAACACTGAGTTTCATCATTTTTTTTATTAATTTCATAGATAAAGTGGTATTTCATGGTTGTTTTAATAAGCATTTATTACTGAGGTTGGGCATTTTCCCCTGTATTTGTTTAACATTTCTCTTTTTTCTTTTGCAAAGTGTCTGCCCATATTATCCCTGGGCCATCTTTCAGCCAGAGTTGTGTTATTGCCCTTGTAGATTTGTACCTGCTCCCTGCAAATTCTTAGATCATAAGATTTCGATCTGAAATTACTACAGATAGCATCCGGTTCAACCTCTTTGTTTTACAAAGGGGTTTGTAAAGAGGTCTGACACCTCTGAAGTCTAGAGAGAGGAAATGATATGCCCAAGAGAGATGTCAGACTTTAATCTGACAAGTTTAGCATGAATGATAACTCCCAATCTATTTTTCTTTTTCTGTTGTCAAGCCTCTAGAGCCCACTTGGCTGAGCCTGTAAGGGCTGGGGCACTTGCCCCTCCCTGTTTAATACTTAGCCATGAGGTTTGGTCTGGGTTTAGTCCTAGGGAGCCCAGCCTCTAGAGATAGGGTGCTTCCTTTTCTCATTCAATCTTTATTAAAGTAAATTAGATTACGGCTCACAAATCTTAGGGCTCCCTCCCACAAAAGGGAAAAGTCACAAAAAGACTCTCAGGGTACAATATTAAACGGACATACAATGGGTAATTTATTCCTATACCTCCAAGAAAAAACTAAATATGAAAAAAAACCCTCACTAGAGTACATTAACAGCATAGGATTCATTCATTTAACAGGATTCAGGAACCATTTGTAACTACAGTTATGACCTGCAGGAAGCTAATATTTAAATCTCCTCAGTACATAAAGCAGTTTTGCTCATCAGATATCGATATTTTATATCAGCTCTACACTATCACTGACCTCCAAATTCAAACCTCTAAACTTCACCTTCAACTATTTCTACTATTAGCATCTTCATCAGCAGCTTCCACAAGCAACTACCATTCCCACACATACAGCCTGCTGAATTTGAAGGCAGCCTTCTAGACATGTGCATCTCAAGGTGATTGCCTGGTTATTTGCTCAGGAAAGGAGACATCAAAAAAACAGGCCAAACCCAAGTTCAGGTTTCCTTTGGCAGGATATGTGCTCAAGATGATGTATAGGGCCTATGGGAGACATGTGCAAATATCCCTTTCTCCAACTTGATTTTCAAGATGCAGCCCTAGACTTGATCCATGTTTCATAACTGGAATGGAAGAGACAGGCAGAGTGGTGGTTTAATTCCTTTTGTAAATCCAGTGAGTCATCAGCTCCTCCAGCTCAGCAACCACTTTGGGAATTCTTAGTCATGGTAGATGGCAAGCTGTTTAGCACTGATTGAAGCCAGCCCCAAAGCTCTCAAGAGATTGGCGAGAATTAGGAAAAGCAGTTCTGTACATGTTTAGTGGAATGGTCTCTATAGGCTCATTTAACTTTACTACAATTCGTTTGACTAGTTTTTGTTATACAAATATTTTTACTTGTATATGATCAAATCATCAAACTTATCTTCAATGATTTCTTCCATTGCTCTATATAGTTAAAAATATGATCCTTCCACATTTAGGATAAGTAGGCTATTCCAAATCTTTTTTAATTTTATTTTTAATTTATGGAATTAAACAAGCATTTCCATAACATAGTATAATTTAAAAAAAGATTATTGCACATGAAACTGCAAATCTATTATGTACACCTTGCTATTCCTTTTAAATATATAATAAAGTTATGATGTAAATTTTCTTTCTTTTTCTTCTCTCCCCACCCCCACCCTAGAGAGGGCTATCATTAGACACAAACATGTATCATATGTAAAATCATTCTACATATACTTTTATTTATCAGTTCTTTCTCCATATGCAGAGAGTGTATTCCTTTATATGTCCTTTGCAGTTAATTTGGGTGTTTATAATTGTCAAAATGACTTATTTGCCTAACGTTGTTCTTAAAACAATATTGCTGTTACTGTATACAACATTCTCTCGGTTCTGCTTATTTCACTCTTCATTATTTCATGCAAGTCTATTTATGATTTTCTACGACCATTGAGCTCATTGTTTCTTATAGCACAGTAGAATTTCATCACAATTCATATCCCACAATTTGGTTTAGCCATTCCCCAATTGATGGGCATCCCTGAAATTTCCAGTTCTTTGCCACCACAAAAAGCTGCTATAAACATTTTAGAACATATAGGTTCTTTTCCTTTTTCCTTAATCATCTTTGGAAATAGATCTAGTAATGGTATATGAAGAATATAGGTAGTTTATGCTATATGTATGTATGTATATATGTATGATCAAAGAATATAGGTAGCTTAATGACTCTAGGCATAATTCCAGGTTGCTTTCCACAGTTGGATTAGGTCACAACTGCACCAAAAGTGAATGTGTCCCAATTTTTTTTTCCATATCCCCTCCAACATTTGTCACTTTTCCCTTCAATCACCTTAGCCAGTCTGATAGATGTAAAATAATATCTCAGGGTTGTTTTAATTTGCATTTCTCTAATCAATAATGATTTAGAGCATTTTTCCATGACAATAAATTGTTTTGATTTATTTATTTAAAAATTTCCTGTTCATATCCTTTGACTATTTACCAATTGCGGAATGACTCTTATTCTTAAAGACTTTACAAAGTTCTTTATATATTTGATATATGAGGCCTTTATCTGATAAACTGTCTATAAAATTTTTTTCCACATTTTCTGCTTTCCTTCTGATCTTAGCTACATTTATTTTATATGTGCAAAACCTTTTTAATTTAATGTAAGCAAAGTGACCGTTTTATATCTCACTTGCTCTCTGTCTTTTGTTTATTCATAAATTGTTTGCCTCTCCATAAGTCTGATAAATAATGTGTTCCATGTACTTTCAATTTTCTTATACTACCTCTTTTTATATCTAGGTCATATATCCATTTTTTACCTTATATTAGTAAACGGTATAGGATATTGGTATATGCCCAATTTCTGCCACATTGCTTTCCAGTTTTCCCAACAATTTTTACCAAATAACAAATTCTTCTCCTAAAATCTTAAGTCTTTATACTTGTCAATTCTAATTCCTTCTAAGTTTTAAGTCTATACATATACATACATAAATACATACATATACATATACATCACTGATCCAACTGGAGTTTGTTTTAGCATGTGATTTATCTCTAAATCTATTTTGCCTATATGATTATCTAGCTAATACAATAGCATCTATTATAATTAGTCTTTTCCCCAGTGTTAATACCAAGATTTTTAAAAATTTATTGTTTTACTTTTGGGGTATATTTGTTTTTCTAATTGTATGTTCGTTTATACGAGGTTTTTTTTTTTTTGCGGGTCCCCCCCTTGATTGGCTTTGGTGATTGCATCATTATGATATAATTAAATTGGGAAACCTTCCTTTGTTCATATCATTAAAGTTATGTACTTTTCTTTTAAATAGATTGTATGTATTTTGGTTGTTATATTTTATTGCCATTATCAATTAGATTTTTAATTTGTTTTTTCTACCTATTTATTACTGGCATATGAGCATGTGAATGATATTTGAAAGTTTATCAACAAACATTAATAAATAATATGAATATATATGTATATATGTCCAACAGGACTTTTGGACTAGGAGAGTAGAACTAGGAAGGGGGATCTGCCTCTGTTTTAAGTAGTCACCTAGTACAAGATCCTTCTTTCTGAAATGAAACCAAAAAGAAAACAGCCAAATATTTCCCTCCTCCACACATGACCTTCTAATTCCAGAGGACATATATATCAGGTACAAACTAAAAATCCCAGATAAAATAAATTATGATAGAAAATTATCCCTTTCTCTCCCCCCATGAAATCTTCTGTGTCACCTTCCAACCTTCCAGTCCTCCTGCATGGGGGCCATCTGTAAGCATCAGGAAGAAGCAGTAGTTAAGATTCTTGCTTGTCTTGGACACCAGCTGAGAGAGGAAGTTAGGTATGACCCCTCCCTCTGCAGTGATGACAGCTGCACTTGGTGTCTTCAGCTCTTCATCATTGCCCACTGCCATCTGGTTGGGGCTGGGCTTGATCTTAGACACCTTTACATTTTTACATTTAATTTCAATAGAAGCATTGCCAGCCAGTTCCTAGAGCTCCAAAGTAACGTACTCCAGTACACTCCTCAGGTAAATACAAGACCTCACCCCCATTCTGTCAGCATACAGGCCTCTCTTCAGATATTGATGAATGAGGTTTATGAGAAACTGCAAGCACTTCCTTTGCAACTTGGACATCTTAAGGATTACAGTACATCTGTTGATTTTCTTCCCTGTTGGAGTTATCTTTTAATCCATTTGAAGTGAATGAGAGAAAAAAGGAAAGAATCAGTATAAGTAATATAAAAAGAAACTCAAAAAGTGATTTAAAACAAAAAAAAATGGCCTAGATTTTAGGCTTGTCCAGCCATCTTACTCTACTATTGAATAACTTATTCAAAATCCCTGATAACCTTTAAAAACCTCAAATGCTTCTTAGTGTGTTTAAATTTTGCTTTGCATAGCCTAAATAGAAAGTAGCACAAGTGAGAATTCAGTATCTTTTATTTGTACTGAAGGGCCTAAGGATGTGACTTAAAGCCTCATAGGACAATCTGTCCTTTTTCCCCCTAGGGAAGAAAAAGTAGTTAGCTGTTGCCAGCCAACTCCCTGGAATATCTTTGGAAGTAGGGATTCAGTCTTACGCTTATTTTTAGGTTACCTATAATTCAAGGCAACATAGAAAAGAACTCAAGAAGGCCCTCAACAAAAACATTGGATGACCAATTGAATGAAACTATGCCTAGGAGGATGACATTATGGGAATTAGGCCATAATTAGCTTTGTGGAGATTGTCTGATTCTAGTTTTAGGAGCACCACATGTTAAAACTCAATATTTTTTCACAGAGACAGATGCAAGAATGGTAAAGACTAAGGGAATTTAGAAATGGGGAATCTGTTTAAACTGAAAATAGACACCCAAATCTAAGAGTTGCTTCAAAGTTTTTGGTAAACAGTTGTTTCGTTTCCACTGCTCAGGAGTCTAGGTTACCAGGCCTAGAAAGTTTTCTTCTGAGTAAATGATTAGAAAGCATTTAGTAACTGATAGTAATTGTCCAGGACTGCAGAATTCTCCAACTTACTTTTTACTTCAGACACCATCACAGCATTGTCACCTTCCACCTCTGCTGTTTGATCATTTTAGTAATTTTCTAAGCCTGAAATCAGATTCTGTGCTAGAAAAGTACTCAACAGATAACTTATTCTTTATCATCATTATTTATTCTAAATTAATTAATTTATTTTTATTTTCAACATTCACTTCCACAAAATTTTGAGTTCCAAATTTTCTCCCCATCTCTCCCCTTCCCCCACCCCAAGATGGCATGCATTCTGAATACCCCTTCCCCCAATCTGCCCTCCCTTCCCCCACTGCCTGTATATCTTATTTCCTAGTAGCATATAAAAACAATTTTTAACATTTGTTTTTAAAACTTTGGGTTCCAAATTGTCTCCCTTCCTCCCTCTGCACCCACCTTCATTGAGAAGGCAGGCAACTCAATACAGGATATACACGTGTAGTCATGTAAAACACTTCCATAACAGTCAAGTTGTGAAAAACTAACTATATTTCCCTTCATCCTATCCCACCTCCCATTTATTCTATTCTCTCCTTTGACCCTGTCCCTCTTCAAAAGTGTTTGCTTCTGATTACCCCCTCCCCTAATCTGCCCTCCCTTCTATCATCCACCCCTTTCTTATCCCCTTCCCCCCTATTTTCCTGTATGGTAAGATAGATTTCCATACCCAATTGAATGTGTATGTTATTACCTCCTTAAGCTAAATTCGATGAGAGTAAGATTCACTCATTCTCTCTCACCTTCCCCAACTTCCCCTCTACTGTAAAAGCTTTTTCTTGTCTGTTTTATGTGAGATAATTTACCCTACTCTACCTCTCCCTTTCTCCTTCTCCCAGTATAATCCTCTCTCTCCTCTTTTATTTTTAGATATCATCCCTTCATCTTCAACTTACCCTATGCCCTCTGTCTACATATACACATACACACATATACATATACATACACACATATTACATACATATTTTCCCTCCAACTACCCTAATACTGACAAAGGTCTCATGAGTTACAAATATCATCTTTCCATGTAGGAATGTAAACAGTTCTACTTCAATAAGTCCCTCTTTCCTATTTACCTTTTCATGCTTCTCTTGAGTCTTGTATTTGAAAGTCAAATCTTCTATTCAGCTCTAGTCTTTTTATCAAGAATGCTTGAAAGTTCTCTATTTCACTGAATATCCATTTTTCCCCTGAAGGATTATACTCAGTTTTGCTGGGAAGGTGACCTCTGGAATATCATATTCCAAGCCTCTGATGTAGAAGCTACTAAATTTCGTGTTATCCTGATTGTGTTTCCACAATACTTGAACTGTTTCTTTCTGGCTGCTTGCAATATTTTCTCCTTGACCTGGGAACTCTGGAATTTGGCTATAATATTCCTAGCAGTTTTCCTTGGGGATCTCTTTCTGGAGGTAATTGGTGGATTCTTTCAATTTCTATTTTACCCTCTGGTTCTAGAATACCAAGGCAGTTTTCCTTGACAATTTCTTAATTAGATGATGTCTAGGCTCTTTTTTCGATCTTAGCTTTCAGACAGTCCAATAATTTTAAAATTATCTCTCCTAGATCTATTTTCCAGGTCAGTTGTTTTTTCCAATGAGATATTTCACAGTCTATTCTTTTTTCATTCTTTTGGTTTTGTTTTACAATGTCTTGATTTTTCATAAAGTCACTAGCTTCCAACTGCTCCATTCTACTTTTTAAGGAATTATTTTCTTCAGTGCGCTTTTGGACTTCCTTTTCCATTTAGCCAATTCTGCTTTTTAAGGAATTCTTCTCCTCATTGGCTTTTTGGACCTCTTTTGCCATTTAGGTTAGGCTATTTTTTAAGGTGTTATTTTCTTCAGTATATTTTTGGGTCTCCTTTAGCAAACTGTTGACTTGTTTTTCATGATTTTCTTGTACCACTCTCATTTCTCTTCCCAGTTTTTCCTTTACTTCTCTTACTTGCTTCTCAAAATCTTTTTTGAGCTCTTCCATGGCCTGGCACTGATTCATATTTTTCTTGGAGGCTTTGTATGTAGGAGCTTTGACTTTGTCGTCTTCTTCTGGTTGTATGTTTCGATCTTCTTTGTCACCAAAGTAAGGGTTCTATGGTCTGTGTTTTTTTTTCACTATTTGCTCATGTTCCCAGCCAATTACTTGACTTATAAACTCTTTGTTAAAGTAGGGTTCTGCTCCCAGTGTGGAGAATGTACTGTCCCATGCTTCAGGGCTTTTGTGCAGATGTTTTTAGAGATACTTCTAGGGATCTGTAAGTTTTCAGTTCTTCCAAGGTGATATGACCAAAGGTGAGGTGTTTGCTCCTTTCCTGGCCTGTGCTCTGGTCTATGAGTGACTACAAGCATTCTTTTCTGTCTTGGAACTATGAGGAGGATTCTCTTTTCACCGCCACTACAAGCTCCACCACACCAATGCTCCTTCTTGCCCCAGGACTGCCACCCAGGACTGTGACCCAGATCCAAGCACAGGCAAGGCAAGGAAATCCTGCCTTAGCACCAGCAAAGAGATCTCTGCAATCTCCCTCTGATCAGCCACTCGACCCCACACTGTCTGTGGTTTGAGAGCTCTAGAACCAGCTGCTGCCTCAGGGCTGTGTCAGAACTGGGGCCAGACCACGCTCCTTTCTCACCGAGGTCCAACAGACCTTTCCTACTGACTTTCTAAGTTGTCTTTGGCATTTGTGGGTTGAGAAGTCTTGAAACCGCTATAACTGTTAGTGATCCAGTCCTCTGAGGCCTGCTCCAGGTTCGCTGAGGCCTGATCTTTGCCTGTGCAGCCCACGCCGAACTGTGTTCCTCTCCCAGCCTGGCACAACAGACCTTTCCAGTCAACCATCCAGGTTGTCTTGGGCTGGAAATTTGTTTCACTCTATCTTTTTGTGGGTTCTGCTGCTCTAGAATTTTTTTGGAGCCATTTTTAACAGGTATTTGGAGGGGTTTGGGGGAGAGCTCAAGCAAGTCACTCTCTTACTCTGCCATCTTGGCTCCACCCCCTATTTATTTTTATTTAGAAGACCACTTAATCTAATCTGAATCTGTAAAGGACAGGATACAGCTGAAGAATAGGAAAGGAACACTGGTGTGTGAAAAGTCCATTGGTTTTGAAGTCAGAAAATCTGATTTCAAATCCTGGCTCTATCATTTAATCCCTGTATGATTTTTACTCAGTACCTCATCTATAAAATAAAGGCTGTGGACTAAATTATCTCTGAGGTCCCTTCTAGTTCTAAATCTATGCTTCTAAATAACTTAGGTATCATCTGAGAATTACAGAGTAATTGGGATCCTTTAAGAATGCTTACTTAGAATTTAGGCAAACAAATAAATTACTTCTACCTTGTATGATTTCAACTTAATCAGTGATGGCAGAGTCCCAGCATGCAACTCCCTTTTAAAATTCTCCCTTAAACATTAATTCTTCTCTTAAGACAATGTCTTAAAACCTTTAAGTAAAAAAAGTGCACAGAAGAGAAGAAAACTTATAAGGAAGCAAGGAAAAGATGGACAGCTCTCAATACAATGTGTAGTATTTATCATACAGGCTTTCTTGAAATGAAAATTTATTGTTACATGTTTTGAATCCTCTCTTATATTCCACTAGGCACATGACATGCTTTTTTTTTTTTGTTTTCTTACTTTGGAATTAAGTTCCAATATTTAAGTCTATGATTTTTTTTCTTTTCTCTATTCTGTATTTGTGTTCTGGTATTTGAGTTTAAAATATAATTCAATTAAAAAAAACAAAACTAAAAAGAAAACCCATCTTTTGCCTTAAAAAAATGCCATTCTCAGGCCTGCTGGTTAGGGAATTAATTTGACTGTTTTTACACCAAAGAAGTGTATAATATTTCAACAATATCCACAGTATGCTTATGATACTATAAGGCATGGAATCGCCACCAACAACATTTCATACAAATGGATAGTTTCCAATAATTAAATCCTCGTGTTACCTTGCTTGGGAAAGTATGCATCAAAAGTAAGGTGGGGTTACCATATCATGTCAACTGCTTTAATAAGATTTTTGACAGCTGATTTTAGAGAAGGTATACACATCAGAGCTGCTTTCTATGTGGCCAGCTACTGCAGAATGTTCTTTGCAGTGTACCTAGCCAAAAGTCAAATTTCTATAGCTATTAAGGACTGAACAGAGACAATGTTCTTGAA